ACTGAGGTAATATCCAACCATTGAAGAGTAAAATAAAAACAGTCAAACAATGTCAGCTTTTGAGGCAAAAGGAAGTGGAGCACAGAGTTAGAAGCTGTAATGCAGATACCTACCAACAAAGTAAATGAAGGAGAAGCAGCAACCGGTGTACACTGCTTTTGTTTGTTTGCTAACTGATAAACGGCATTGGGCATGGGCAGAAAATACCTGAGAATATTTTAGAATCGAAAACTTCATCAACTTTAAACACCAGATGTCCGAAATGTTTGATGGTGCTTTTGAGAGTGAGCGTAATCTTTATTGGTCACCAACACCCATAAATGGTTCCTAATTCCACCTAAGGATTAAATGTGCACATAGCTGTATGAAAGTCATTCTGCATCAAGTTTGAATCGTATGCAACTAAGGTTATCCAGACCGGCTGCAGATAACACCCTAAGGTAACACAAATCTGTACATATTGCACTCGGGTAAAGGGAATGCTGGAAGAACTGGGCAGTGTGTCAGACAGAGGATAAATAAATGCAGAATCCAACCACTCACTGTCAAAGGAAGAACTCGAAATTGTGTTTTTCTGCCGGACTAGTTTTCTGACTTCAAACCACATACATTTGCAATCACACTTGTTTGCTCAAGAGGAATCTGGATTTCTGATGTTCTGTTTAATAGACAGAGAACAGCTCAACGGCAATCAACCTGACACTGTTTAACGCGGATTGCAGAACCAAGTTGGTAACAGGACAAACATGGTTGGAAACGTCAAAAAGAGATGTCGTATTGGATTAACAAGAGTGGTCGCGAAAACAAAACGATCAGTCACAACTGAGAATTAACTTCCTTAGTAGAGCCAGATTGTCAGGAAAAAGAGACGAGGAGGTCAATCTAGCGAAACATGATATGTTTGAGCCGAGTTGAAGAATAGGGTCCCGACAGGGACAAGGATCATATTTTCACCACTGAGCGGAATGCTTGGGAGAAAATATATCGGTATGATCAGTGATAAGATGATCAAAAATATTGGAGGCCCCGGTGGGTACATCAATAAGGGCACTAAAGTTCAGATAGAACAAGGGATACATGAGACCATGGTTTAAATCATCAACAGTTGTTAACACCGGATGGCGCAATAAATGGTAGGAATGCGTCGTAAAAATATGGCGTCATATCGTGTGGAGCATTATACATACATATATCTATGGTGCGAATAATTAACTGTATACTAGTTACCTCGGACTTAAGAGGAATTTAGAAAGCTGTTTATTCAAATGTTTTTCGAACGCATTTTCTAATCTATCCAGCTATGCAAAGTCCATGACGGGCACCACAGAGAGAGAGAGAGAGGAAGAGAGAGCTCCAACTGCAAAATTTGTAGAGAGCCTAAAAGTACTTTTGCGTGGGGCCTTTTATTTCGAAACTGGTACAGTTTACCGAGGATGACTGTCTGAGATTGCTTCTAACGGGGAGTGCGTTTGGATCGGTTTAGCGTTTTAACTTATCCCCATTTATCGGAAAAATCGCTTTATTACGGGAATGAGAGGACAGTCTGAACTAAATAACTAGTGAAATCGGTTCCAAGTGGTCTGTAGCCGCTTTCACTGGGTTCCATTGCCCTGAAAAAATAGCCGACTCTATAGCATTTAAATACTTTTTGATATTTGTATTTGATAAGTGTACAGTTCACTTTTGGGGAGGGAGAATGGGTCGAATACAGGTCTACCATGGAGAACAACGACGTGGGAAAATAATCCAGAGGTGGTGATGGGATTCGAACAAGCGAACTTACAGGCAAGGCAATGGTCACCGGCACCGCTTGGCTACTGTTGATGTTAGCATCTGTTCTAAAAGAACACACACAAAGGCAAATGGGACAAAGTATCAAATCAAACTCAATGAGTGTAAAACGAGTTACGCGGTTGAAGAAAACCTTTTTAAAAAGCAGTTTGTTGGTCAAAGCGCTATGCAATGCGAGAGGATGGAAGATGGTGATGTTGTTTAGATAAATGTTTTTCCCCAGGCAGCTCTTATTTGGTCACAGCCCATTCTCTCCCAAATTAACCACACATTTGTTCGTTTAATAAAAGAATACTAGAGAATACTAATGTTTATCGAAAGTAGAATATCAAATCAACACCAACGTAAAATGCAACTATACGCCCTGATCTAAGTGTGGAGTTTGATCAAATGGAAGAGCCCGGCTCCCTGAATGATAGGACAGATGACAGCTATTTTCCTGGGATAAGACTAATCGGAACCTGCCGTGGGCACATCAAATGTGTTTCCATTCGGATGCAGTCTATCTAGTTTTGTTAGACAGGAGACCATATATGTTGGCAGTGAAAATGATGAGTCAAGCGTACTGGCCCAATGGATAATCCGTTCACATTCCACTCCTGGGTTGTTTATTCGCACAGGGAAAACAATCTGACTTTGCTCATCAATCACACTTTTGACACAGCACACACATTCATTATGCCCCATTCGCGACAAATAGAAACCCTAATTAATTAAAGTTAGACGTGCGCAACACCTCTAACTATTGTTGAAGATGCTGTCACAATGGAACGCACGAAGTGAATAATGCATAGGGTAATTTGTCTGATGACAAACTGTCATACCGTGTGGACGTGTGTGATTCTGGAGTTTAGTTTGGTCTGTATGAGGCTCTCTCACGCTCCTAATTCGCGCACGCACAATACTCAGTAGTCGTAACAACCGGAAACCTGAAAAATAATAATCACGTGGTGTGGAGCTTGTTTCTTCTTCTAGCAAACAGTTGAGCGTTTCACTGATATGATGTCCATCATTATTTTGGGTCTCTGGACTGGACAGAAAAGCAGTGGAGAGAGGGGGGGGGTGAGTTACTACTATTCTCGTGTTCACACGTTCAGCTTAACGTTTGCATACGGTTGGAACGTGACTTTAGCTATTCGTGCCTGTTAGAACAAAAAGAACAGCCATAACAACAACAACAACACTAACCGGAACGACAACAACCAGAACATCAGCATGAAAACGGACTATAGGAAAATTTCCGTTATCTGCGGAGTAATATTTTTAGCAAATTTATCATTCAGTTGATTTTATTCCATTTTGGTCTCATTCCTGCGCTTGCATTTATCCTCGTTTCAGTGACTGAAGTCGTCTGTATGCTCATCAGGGGAACAAACCATTCTTTCAAAATCAGTGGCTTCGAGGGTTTAACACGTTCCCGAAAATGGGACAACTATTGGACTATTTGAATACGCATTGCAATGTGTGGAACTCATCAAACGGCTTGATTTATGAACCGCGCATTTCACTCTGCCACACAAACCCGTTTGCAGATCACACCCAATGGAAAAGCAGATTTCAAACTATCATTTGCACTATGTCCGAACATTGTCGAAATAGATAGGAAACATATGTCGAATGCGTTCCACTTGTGCCAGCGTGCTGTAACCTATTACCTCTGGGGTATGGTTGGGGGTACCGATAAAACAGTTTCATGTCCTGATTTTTCTGCGGTCAGCAGTCACCTTTGGTGGGCATTAGTGCGATTCCCCACCAAAAAGAAGTACAATTATCCCCCAAATGTAACATCTGGTTACCAACAGTTGATCGTAATAAACATGTGTTCTGAACCCATTACCCCAGGGGCAAAGAAACACTTCCGCGGCTAGCCATAAGTAGGCGTGCCTTTGATTTGTTGTGTGACCACGATTTACTCTGATAAGAATAGTGAATAGTAACACAACTACGTGACTTGTTATGAAAAAAATGACATCATTGCCTTCTTATACCGTCATTACTTGTGCCTATCCTCGGTCGTTCGTTCTATGATGATCTCCCTGAATTCTTGTAAGGAGTTTGCCCGAAGCAAATCTCTCGAACATTCCTTCACTTTTTATGCTGTTTCTTGACCACACCCGCTGAATAAATTGGAATTTTTTGGTTGACCAGCTAATTTGCCAGCATGAGTGACAGATTATTTTTCGCCGCGGGAGGTACGCAAACAGTGTAACCAAAGTCGTCCTGCACCATGGCAACCATACCAAGTATGGTTCAACGCACGCACGCACATACACACACACACACACATCCATGACCTCTTCGTTGACACGGTTGCTTATTGTTTGAATATGCGGATGGTATCGTTNGTTTGATGTCGAAAGGTTTCAGCTCAATCCGATGTTTCGATTTTTTCGCGCAATTTCTTCCAGATTAACTACTTTTCTGATACCCGAAATTTACTATCAAATTCTTCGAACCGTTCTGAAGATGCCTTCATTTTGTCGCATTTCATATCGATACCCTTCTGAGACTACAACGACTGAGATGTCTCGATGTGTCACTGGTCACCTTCAACGGGTATACCACATAAAGATTTATTTCAATAATTTGCGCTGTTCTTTCAGACCCGTAAACTCAGACGATTTCTGGTTCGAAAGTCTGTCAGTTCCGGTTTTTCCCTGTTTTGTGATATTATTTCCTCAATCTTATAAATATAAATATGAATATAAATATATATAATTGCTTTCTCTGCATTTTTTTTATTGGTCTGCACATGAGAGATTTTGTGGTCGTACATCTGGCATTTTCCTTAATGACCTTATCGAAGAGTCATGTGACTCACACGTCGGAACGGGTTACTTGAATGATTCTTGATATCCTTCCCCTTCAGCTGAATGTCGACCCTTCAAAATGTGGTCCTTAAATCAGTACTCGCTGCATGTACAGCTCACATTGTTCGGGTACTGGGTGGCGCAGGACATCTTCTGCTTAGCATTAAACACGTGCACACTATGACAGGACCAAAACAATCAGTGCTTTGCATGCTGCTCTCAGACTGTGTACTCTTGTTATTACAACCGTCACTTTCTCCTCTTTTTGTGAGTCCCTTTTTCTGTGGCCAGTGAAAGCAATTTTAAGACTGATATTGTGATTTTTGTGAATAATTTTGTGAACAAACTACAGGACAGGGTATTCCCACACATTTATGCTCTTTCTGTTTCTCTCCGTAGGAATTGTATCAAACGTGCCGTGCCATGCATCAGCGGGTGGTTGAGTTCCTCAGTCAAGTATCCGATGAAGAGGTGACACCGTGTCTTTTGCAAGTGAATGACAATCTGAACAACGCATTTTCTCGGTAAGTGAATCGAATTCTGTTCCGGAGAACGAACTCAAGGAGTGGAAAATCCTGACTAAATTTTTGTCATATTTTGAATTGAAATTCACCACCCTTTAATGATATGACTCTACTTTGTCCGGCTGAGTTTGCACCGTTTGCTGGTTACCGTCCACTAATGAACCAAAGGTGGTTCTCTGCCATCGTCGTATCGAATGCGCTTACGCACATCTAATGAATTTGAACCCAACTACCAACCAAGTCAACGAACACATAAACGCGGATAGTTCAATTAGTCCGGATAGGAATTAGATCAAATCTGTGTTACTTCCACTTCCCACTCGATTATGAAATGATTCCTACTAACCAACTAACCCCCAAACCAAACTAATTATCATTTGCGGTGAGCTATTCGCAGACTATTTTATGCCCCAAACAGACTAATGGAGAGAGAGAAATTTGTGGGAGCAGTGTTTTGATCAACTCAATCGAGACTGATCGGTTTGATTCACGATGCAAGAGCAACAGCAAAAGCAAAAACAGCCACCAATTCCAACGTCATTTATCGCCCCGCATGTAAAGTGTGGCTTTTTTCTTTCTCGCAGTTTGTTGGCTGCTTGGTCGATGATCGTAAGGAAAGCGTTCTGTGCGTCGTCCCATCATTCCACGGGACAATCGGTACAATGTTTCATTGTGGGAACCCAGTCTAATTCATTCTGGCAACTCTTTCTTCTTCGCCATTTGTACAGTTGCTTTTCCTTCCCCCGCCTTTCACTCGCCCCTGTCCCAGCTCGTGCAAACGATTTAGGAAGCAGGCGAGCAAACAGAAGGGTTTTACACAGATTGGTCGATAGGATGACTATAACTAACTAGATCGACAGGCTGCCACACATAAGGAGGCGAATACAACCCACACGCGATCAGGCTGCCTCCAAAACTGTGTAAACGAGAGTCGGGGATGCTTACTTGCGCCACTGAATCGCCCAATTCCCATACGCATGATTAGACAGACAAGCGTAATGTAGAGGGAAGAGAAAATCGTGTTGTTTTGTACTGATTTCGACCCGATTTAGGTATCACTCAATGAGAAGAAAATTAATCTTTCTACTCTCGAATAATGGCTTAATGTCGCGCGCTGTTAGAATTGCCCGGCACGGCGAATGCGTCACGTGACTTTCGTCGTGCACGTTTGATGTTTTGTTCGCATAGACCGAATAAGTTATTACGGATCCCATTAACTCTGAACACATGTTAGACGAGAATATCGACTTGTCTGGATCTGACCTAGGATTGAAATCACCACAAAGGGATCCTATTGGTTGACTTTCCAAGCCAGCAAATAGTTGAACTCCTCACAACCACTGCTCACTACCCAAGAAGGCCATTCAATTCTAGTGTGACCGTTACTCTTCTATCAAATTAGGTTATCGTCCGTTTTCTGTCTTTCCGTATTTTTACCGAATTTACTTCCCGTAAAATCAGAATCAATTTAAATGAATGACTGTTCTTTATGTGACTTTCTTTAAAGCCTAATGCGTTTTTTTGTTATAAATCCCTGGAAGAAGAACAGAATAAAGCTTGTTCTCCCACCATAATTAGGCGGACGTCTTACTCAAACGATTTTTGGAAAATGACCAACCCTAGATGAAGTAAAAGTTCAAGCTGACTTACCGAGTGACACTCACGAGCAAGTCTGTTAGTTTTTTGGTTTCCATTCTACGTCCTTGATAAAGATCGGTAGTTTAGCGCTTTGTCATACCATCGCAACCACATCTTCCCGTCAGACCGCGGTGCTCATATTCACCTATTTTGAAACATCCTCAGGCAAACTGATGGATGGAACGCTGTGCTCTCTCTGTAGCCTTTTGTAACACTGTGTTTTAAATGAATATGACGGAAGTAACAATATTACTATTATTATTATTATTATTATTATTATTATTATTATTATTATTATTATGCACTAAATGAATTAGAATTCTGGGAAGTTCTTTTTAGTTTGCCGTGTTTTCTCGCCTCCTATCATCAAAGGGCAAGATTAGTGCGAGAAGTAAAGTAAAACTGATTTTTATGCCTAATTGACCGCAGTCGTATTATAGTATTTTGTATTTGGGCCGAATCTGATCCACAACTTAGAGGTTTTATTGAATGGTGAAAATATTCCCAACAACGCGTACACAAAGTGGAAACAAAAAAATTTCTTTTCAACATATCACTTCATATATTTACTTACGTGTAGCTCGATTTTCCGGTAGATTGGTAAATGGCCTCAACTGGTGTTGGAGGAAAGTGTGTGTGTTTGTGTATGTATGTATTGTAAAATGTTCGGTTGACAACAAAACATATGATCATAAAAAATGGATGAGGAAAACATAAGTAAACATGTGTCAACTGCCTATGACTAGAAGAGTGTTCATCTATATTGAATAAAACAAATGTGAAATTATGAACCAAAAGTCAATAAATGAGAGGGTTAGCAAAAAGGGGGTGACATTTTTGCAGAAAAATACAAAACAACCACTTTTCTGACCGTGGTAACAGTAGCGCTTCAACCAGGTTCTATCGCTTGTACAACTCCGGGTTCATAGTACTAATTGCTATGGTTTCCGTAATTGTTAGATGTGCTTGCTACGGAGAAACTTGTGAACACGGTTTCTGGTTCATTCCTGTGTCTACTGTCTACCGGATGTTACAAGATGGAGGTTTTCACGTTCTTCGCTGCTGTTTTTCGAAGTACGACTGAATAATGTCCGGATGTTTGCTTGATCAAATGGCTCGTTGTGTTTGATATAACGAGTAAGAAAAAGTTTATGTAAACTGATATAAAAATGATTGGGACTGATGAATCAATTTATCCATAGCCCATCGTATATTGAGTGGCTTAGTCTTCGATATAACTCGCAAAAGCACTGCGGGTAAACAATTAGCAATGGCTTTTGATTGACGATGTCCTAGAATTTCTAATAGCCTATCCTTATGCACACCTTTCTATTCATCTGTAATTTTACAGTACATATTTTCGGTTCTAATTGTCATCCAATGAATGTTTGTGGGTATCCATTTCTCTGGAGAGTGCTTTCTATGTATGTAGGTTGGCTGGTGATCTGAGGTCTGCGGACGGCAAATTCTCTTCACCCTGTAGGCAGAACAATTTACTAAATTTATATTACATACCAGTGGGACGAAGCCCAGAAAATATGTGTACCGTCCTACCTACAGACGCTGGCTTTCCTAATACCCTACTTCCAGTATGATCGTTCTCTGTCGGGAAAAAACGAGAAAATTATATATTTTTTTCTACCACCATTGTGAATCGTATACTTGGATGGTCGTTCTATGGAATGCTTGGAGCACTTTGGTGATGTCCATCGACAACTCACAAATGATAAACGAACGGTCTATATATCCAGAGTATCAATCCAGACCGTCGGCCGTATTGTTGATGGACCCATTTTGGACTTTGATTACAAATATATCTGCCCCGGGATGGCTTGACTGGCCTTCCCATAACAACCATCCTTCAGTTGATAGTTTTCTTTAGGTCGTACAAAAACTGTGTTTCGTATTTTTCTTGTGTATTCTTGCTCCAATCAGCTGTAAGTTAGCAGAAGCAGTTTTTGATCCGCAATCTACTGAGGAAACTGCTCCTTGACTTCATTTCAATTGACGTATATAATCCAAAAATTAGCTGTCTAGTAAAATGTTTCATTTCTTTCGGGCTCACTTGATATAACTTTATGTAACAGCATGGTGCCTATACCAAACCCTAACTATGCTTGTCCCAATAAATTTTTGAACAGTGAAAGAACTGCAGATTTTCTTTTACACTCGAATCCATTTGACTCTTCTCGCGAGATGTAATTACTTCATTTTGTGTGCCGAATATCGACAGCGGAGTCTAGCCGTAAATTACCGTAATTACGTTGATCAGATCAAGTTATTGGTTGTCACAAACATGATGGTCATTTCGATGATTGTTGATTGCATTTCCACTTCGTGTGAATTAATTTGAAACTGATGGAATGTATGAGAGTGCACTTTATTTACCATCAAACGACTGAGAATATCGTTTACAATCCCGTCCAACGGCACATTGCAAACACATTGAAGCACTTTTCAGAAAGTTTGCACCAACACAAAATAAAACGAACTGTAAAAGTTCCGATTGTACCGTGAAATTAAAGCTAGTTATTCCTGTATTGTTTGATGAATAGTTTGAAAAAACAGAGTTATTTGAAGATTCACAGCTGGCTGTGACCATTTGGACGAGAGATTTCCGCTCTAACAATAGTGCGCAAGGTTCAAGTGGGTCACTTCAGTGGCCGCATCTCCTTCCGTCCGGATGAGGATTGATGCTAGTCTGTTTTCCTGGTTCAACTTCACTGCGGATATGATTGTCTGATGTTTTCACTGTGCGATATACGAATAAAATACTGCTTTTTACCAAGTAACCGTGATGTTCTCTAAGCGTTTTATGAACGCGCTAGAAAGAAATCGAATGTAAAGCATCCGCAATGTTTGTTCTTCTCGCCCCGGGATTGCTGTTTATAAAAAAAGAACAGCCGAGCAAATTTACCTGATGCCCTAGTTGGTAAACAAACACGCTCACCGCTGTTGTCAAAGCTCTCCTATACGCATTCCGTATTTGTTTCTTGCGTCCATCTTTCATATCGGTGTTCCCGGTGGTCTGGAATCACTGCACAATCAGACCCACAGTTTACCACCTTATTGCGTGAGGGAGCATGTGACTTGCGTTTTTTCTGTTCTAGAAGTTGCATAGCCGTGTACTGAAATGGATAAAACTTTCAGAAATCCGCCTTCTCACTCTGTGAAAGTTGAGTATTTGGGGTTTATTTTATTTTGTGATTGATGAGCATTTCACGTAAGGCTATCTCATATCAATGGAGTGGTTCAGTTTTTTTGTACAGGTCAGCCAGTCGTTATTAACCGTTTCGGGTTGTGTGATCTCACGTCCACCGTTCCCTATGACCATGTTTCCCTAGAAACGGATTCACTTGCGTTGTCGCTTTACCTCAGTCCTGTATTACAGTGGAATCAAAATGAAGGGCTGTTAGTGAAGTAATTTTTTTTACTGTTATCTGCTTTCATTGTTTGTTTTGAATCGAGTCTGTCTCGACACACGGCATTCGTTAGATCGGATAATGTGTTTTCTTCAAGAGCGTGATGTTCGTGCTTGAGCGCAATGCGCGTGTGAGAGAAACGGTTGAAGAACTGTTTCTTTCGAGGACGAACAACAATTAGGTCAACCAACTGACCTTGACGATTGTCATTGGAAGGCATCAATCAAATCTGGCCGGCACATGATTGGAGGGGATCGGGGTGGGGGAGGGGGGACATCGCGGCAGATGTTCAAGCATCCATCACAAGAGTTTAGAAACGTATTAGAAAACCTATGGTTGTATACCCGGTTGACATATTGATTGCACGAGAATCGAATCAGTTATTTGATAGAATGTATTGTCACCTGCAATTTGCAGTTTGAATGCTATGAAAAAAATTCACTTTTGAATTGAGGACGGGAAATGGATTGTTCACGATGATGTCACCAGTGGATGATCATGGGTATGATAATCTACCAGTTCAGCTTACATTG